ATACCACTTCCATTAAACTTCTAGATGCTAGATATTTTGGTTTGGAGTCCCTAGATATCTAATGACGGATGGTGGTTCACACTTCATTCAAGGTACTTTCCGTAAATCTTGCTAAATATGATGTTAACCATGCAATTGCATCACCCTATGATCCTCAATCTAGTGGTCAAATTGAACTTAGCAATAGAGAAATAAAACTAATATTACAAAAACTGTTAATAGGTCCTGAAAGAATTGGTCTAAGAAATTAGATGATGCACTTTGGCCCTATAGAACAGCTTATACAAATCCTAGAAAAGCTTATCATTTTCCTCTTGAGTTAGAACATAAAGCATATTGGGCAATTAAAGAACTCAACTATGATTTCAAACTTGCTGATGAAAAGAGGTTATTAGCTCACTAGATGAATGGAGAATCCAAGCTTATGAAGATGCCAAATTATTAAAAGAAAAAGTTAAAAGATGGCAATGATAAAAGAATCCAAAAGCGGAAATTCAAAGTTGGAGATTATGTTCTTTTGTACAACTCTCGTTTCAGATTCTTTGTAGGAAAACTTCTCTCTAAATGGGAAGGAGCATATATCATCGAGGAGGTTTATTGCTCTGGAGCTATCAAGATCAATAATCACTACAGGAGTCAGCTTATTTGTCGTCTCCCATGGCAGACGACAAAGGCACAAAAAGCGGATGACAAAGCCCTTTGTCGTCTTCCACCAACGACAAACCTGCCCAGCAAAGAGGGTGACGGTAAATGGGTTCTTTGCCGTCTGCTTCTTCAAAGCGGACGGCAAAGGCACTTTGCTGTCTGTGGCAGACGGCAAATAACATGGACGGTAACTAACAAGCATTAGCCACATTAGGTGGCTAACGACAGCCTTTGCCGTCTGCTAGAAGATGGCAAACATGTCCTCCCCTTTGCCATCTGCCACGGATGGCAAAGTAACCAAATGGTATAGCTCCCAGGTTGCACAGGTTGCTGCCAGGTGGCCTCTTTGCCATCGGTGGCGGACGGCAAAGAGGCTGCATTGCCTCTTTTTTCTTCTATTTTTTCTTATATCCAGGCGGGTAGGTCCCGCCGGGGCATTTCGGCGAACACCCCGCAGGCCTCCTCCATGCGGCCGAAGTGGAGGTAGGCATGCACGAGGGAGCCTGACGCAAAGACGCACGTGCGGAGGAGGCCGAGCTGGAGCGTGCAGGGGTGGAGCTGCGCGGCGGAGGCGATGGCCGGGGCCGCGCAGATGAGCGGTGGGAAGGTGAAGGCATCGGGGCGGAAGTGGCGGGCGCGACGCAGGAGGTGGCGGAGGAGCGGGAAGGCGAGGTAAGGGAGCGCAGCACAGGAGAAGGCGGCGATGAGAGTGTTGGCGAGGACGAGCAGGGGCACCTGGAGCTGCGGGTCGAGGAGGCGGAGTTGGCCGGATGTCACGAGCACCGCCTGGACGCCATGGGGCAGCGCCTCCGCTGGCATTGGTGTTCCGCGGACGACCATGCGCGCGACAAATGTCTTTCTCTCTCCCTTTTCTTTTGCGTGTGTGCGTGTATAGTGCCACACGAGTGCCTCGCCGAGCGCCGAAGCACGGCCACGCAGCACGCCGGAGCTCCGTGCCGGGCCGCACACGATGGTGATGCTGCAGCCAGGTGAGAGTGGCGAAGCTAGTCAGAGCATATACAACCCCTCAAACTCGCGGACGGGCTGACCGGTTACAAAAAATCGACCAATCGAACGCCTCAAACTAGCATCAAACGCCTGAGTGTCCGGCATCACTTATATCCAGCCCAAATATAGGGCGGATATGAGGCGACCCGGCCACGCCAGGGCGCGTCCGCGTGACAAGCTAGAGCCACCATCGACCTCACATATATCCCCTTCAATGAACGCTAAACCGCACTCTGCTCAGTCTAGTCCACTCTCTTCGTCCCCTCCTCTTCCCAATCCATACTCTCCTCTTTCCAATCTGATCCATGGCAGATCACCGCAACGGCTCCGGCTCCAATGACGACGAGAGTGGTGCTGATGCGGTCGCTCTGTACATTGCTTTGCGTCACTCCCGTGTAGATCAAGGTGGGAGCAGCGGAGACAGCTCACGGAGCGACGCACCATCCCCCTTCACCCACCTTTGTAGTGCGGGCAACGTTGTTGGGCCCTCCCATCCAGTGCACAGCATCGATGGGACCGACGCTCGCTCCGCCCCACTCCAAGTATGCCACCTTGCCAATACCACACCCATTGTACCTCCTAAGGGCGTCCACGGGCACCGTTGGGTGCTTGTGAATGGAGAGGGCCACGATAAAGAGGCAATTTGAGACCTTGCGATGAAAAACATCAGTCTTAAGAGGAGAATCAACAGAGCTCACTTTCACCCGTCCTAGTTAGGGCCCCGTGTTGCATGCCCATGGGGCAACCCGGGTACGCGAACCCTAGCCCTAGTCTTCGATCCCTCCTCCCTCCCGCCCCCAGCCACCGCCGGCGGCGGTCACCGCGCCAGGTGGCGGCGGGATCTTCATCGCCATATCCTGGTGAGGGGGCCGGGGGGCCTCTTCTCCGACCTGACGGTGGTATTCGGAGGCCGGCGCGCCGTGGCCTGGTGGGAAGCGCAGGCGGATGGAGGACCGAGGCGGCGTAGCTAACTGGCCGGCCGTGGCGCGTCGCGGCGGTGTGCGCAAGTTGCGGCGACGCATCTCATCGTGGTGGGTTCGGGCCGTGCCAGATCCGAGCTGGCCAGGTGCGAGGGAGGCGGCTGGTGCTTGGCAGGAGGCGCGGCGGAGCGACGGGTCTGGCGGGGTTCGGCAGCGGTGCGGTTGTCTGGTTTTATGGAGGCGGCACTGTCTGGAGACAGCGGCGTGAGCTTACGGGCAGGTTGGTGACGGCGCTGTGACGGCTCGGCCAGAATGGAGTTCTGGCGAGCAGCAAGCGGCTGGTCACTCCTGTGCTGTGTGGCGAGCGGCGCTGCACTTCTGGTGGTGCTGGCATCGGAGTCTTCGTGGTGAGGCAGGTTTGACCGTCGCAAGGCCGTCCCTTGGAGTGGGCGATGGCTATTGTGGGCGGTCCGGGACATTGCCAGAGGAGTGGGGTGGCTGCGGTTCTTCGTTAAGGCTTGGAGTTGGTGGTGTGGCCGTGTTTCCCACTTGCCGTGTGTGTGGCCTGCCGTCGGCCCTCGGCTTTGTGGCTTCATCGACTTGGCGCTGCGGTGGCGGCGGTGCGAGGCTTCTTGGACGGTGTCACCAAGTCCCTGGAGATGTGGAGATAGGCGACACGTGGATGAAAGTCTTGCACGATGATCGTCGGGCCGGCGGTGGTGGCACTTGTGGTTGTCATTCCCTCCTTAAAGGCATCGTCGAGGCGTGTTTGTCATTTTCCTCGCTCTCTTGGAGTTGGTGCCTGTCTCCGGGCGAAAGCCTTGATTCAGTGTTGGATCGGCACGATGGCGGTGTTCTTGACGTCGTTCCTCCGTTGGGAGCATGATGTTTGGAGACATGGTGGCTTCCTTGTTGTCCTCCTCTGGTGCTCGCCGCTGTCCTCTCTTGATCCTCGGCGGCGCTATGTACGCCCGTCACCGGTGTTTCCAAGACGATATCTTCTTCGGATCGGATTGAGTCCTGCCATCCACTGACACGATGCCTCGTATCAGCTTAGGATAGACGTTTTTGTGTTGTAGCTTGCTTCGCGGTGGTGCTCGTCTTTGTTCTTACGCGGGTGTGGTGTGTGCTACGCTTGTTGTTCGCAGCGAGTGCTAGTGTTCTTATAATTGACATTCTGCCTTCTATAAAGCTATGGTATACCTAGGTGTTCTCTCGAAAGAAAAGGAGAATCAACAAGAATGAGGCTTCCCTAAAAAAACAAGAATGAGGCTGCAAATCAGAGGCGATGAGAAGATGGAGAATGCGAGCAAATACGCAAAATTGTAGATGTATGATGTAGCTGAGCAAACAATAATTATTCGTATCTGAGACAGTGACTAAATGTATACTGTGTGGCTTAGATTTTACGTAGTAATGCGTAGCAAATTCTTTTGTTAGGAGTTAGTTCTCGCCCTCGCCTCCTAAAGGAAAATCGTGAGTGCTCTGCTTCCTCTGCTTTTATTCTGCTTCGGCCACACCTTACACTCTCCCGCTGAGAAGTTTCCTCTTCTTCCCCGGTGCCCTAGCTCAACGCCGCCGCCTTGCCGTTGCCGTAGCACCGCCTCGCCGCCTCCGACTTGGACGCCGCGTCGCCTCACCGCCTCCCGACCTGCCGCGATCTTGGACACCGCTTCTCGTGGTACGACTGCTCTCCATCGTCAAGCCAACTCATCCTACCCTAATCAATCAATGGAGATCAGCGGTTGTCTAAGATGCGTGTTGAATGTGAGATGTGAGAAATTCTGCTCAGATGTTGGTCGACAGTCTTGCCAAACACTTACACGAAAATTTTATACGATGTGATGAGCTGCTCACTGGAGAGAGACCGAGCTATTACTGTTACTGCATTTTTACATGGAACCTGTTCTTTTCCATGTGGGGTATAAGGAGAAGGGGAAACACTTTGATTCTAGTTTCAATTTTTTTGAATTTAAAATTTGGCAGATGTTTTGCGTTTAAAATTCGACAGATGAAAACATCATCTGGGAGCTGTTCTTCTGCTCCTTTTTGTGAATGCGGACTTGAATGCTCTTTTGCATCTACTTGCAACATGTTCATGTGATCTTGCACAATCTCACCATTCATTTAGTACCTTTGGAACAATTTTGACTTGAAAGAAAGGGACACGTCCTAGTCCTAGCTGAAGAAGCATCGCATGTGAGTAGGAAACACAAACTCAACTAGAATTTTTGTCATCTCACTAGAGAGACATGGTTAGAAATCCCAGTCATCACTAATTATAGGAAGTTGTTCATGAGGTGGCTGCTAAACAAGCAGCAATACAGGGATCGGCAACAATAGCACAGGAGTCAGCTATAGTGTAGGGTACATCATCAGTTAGCCACAGGCTCTATCTAGCATCGATCAGGTCATTCTTCAGTCAAATTAACTCTCTGATGGCGCCGGTATATCCGACTTGCGGATCACATGGACCTTCATCGTGAGGCTGCTCGTGTCGGTCAGTTCGAAGAGGCAGATGTCATCTTCCTCCAGCCCGACATCCAAGGTGAATTTCATCCAGGCTTTGCCGATCCACCAAGTTTTGTTAGATTTCCTCAAGCCCAATCTGCAGTCCCAATCCCTCTCGTCACCCTCCAGAAGGAGCCGGAGGCGTCCTGGCCGGGTCAGGAGACATGCCGAAGCATAGTCCTTGCCCAAGTACTGTCCAAGAGCGCAAAAGAGTGACAGATGACGATCAGTCTCGGATCAATGATTCATTCGGCAAAAGGAAGAAAAGTGCACGTTAGACAGCAAGCTAGGTGAGAAATGGATTATGGGTGAGGTTCTACAATGCAATATCATAAGTAGTGGGGTCTCAAGATTTTCATGACAAAATAAAAAACCGACAGCAGATTATATATACGTAGTGGTTGTGGTATCTGAACTCACCACGGTAGCAACATCATTGAAGGTAATCACTTTCACAAACACAGGAAATACGGAACCAATTGCCCGGACCCTCTCTTCGACTTTCGCTTCCTGTTGGCTATGTAGAGGGGGCCCGGTTGATATGTAATTGTTGGACCTAGGAGCTTCTAAACCGGCTTCATTAGACTCGCGAGCTTGGAGTCCTGAAAAACATTCCATGCTTCCTTATGGTGTTCACACAATGACCGTCGAAAATGTGGTGAAATGAAAAGAATGCATTAATCTGACCTGATTTAGCCCAACGGCCTTCTCTCGCGTTTGAATAGTTTCCTGTGTCAAAACAGGTTTTCTCACAACCGCTTGGGTCAAGGACAAGAACTTCGAGGTGGGCTTTCCCGTTCCTTCTGAAGACGAGGAGGTCGTTGTCTTGCATGCGGTGACAAGCTACAAAACGACTCAACCCAGATTGGAGGATTACTTGGTCATCACCATGCTTGCTTGCGCCAACAACGTATATCATGCCCTTGCCATGGGCTTTGAGCTGAATGGGAGCTTCAGTTATCCCCTCTTTGAAACTGTCCAAAAGCGTCAATGGTATGTACTGCAAGAACAGAAGAAAAAAAGAAAACACACAAGCCGGAAATAATTAATAGCCTATGGATCGATTCGATCGGAGTCACAAACATAAGCAGGAAATTATGTGGGGACTGGGGAAGGATGTAACTTACAACATGGCAGTCCCTGTTGGCATTTCTTTTGATCACAGCTGCCACATGCAGACGAAATTCAGATCCCACGCTGCTCTGAGCTAGTTCTAGCACTTTATTGTCTTGTTCATGGCTTACGCAGGTCCCAGGGAATGCGGTATAGTCTAGGCCGATTGATGTCTGAACATGTGCAGGATCAGGCACCACTTGTTCTGCACATCAAGAAAAAAGTGTTAAAACCATCAGAAAAGCATTACCGAAAGCACTAGAGACTTGAAGGTCCTAATTGACTTCACCATTCAGCACATGACGATCACGAGGAGGTGGTGGAGAAGAGTTGTCGTGACCGGATGAACTGGATATGTGAACCTTGAAACTGGAGTTCCCACGGTACACGAACCAGACAGAGTAGTTTTGTTCTATGTGATGCGCCTTGACAAAGTCGGGCCATCCAGACCTAAGAACAATTTCACCAAACTCCCAACCGATTTTAACAGGGTAGCCGCGGCCATCAGGAGCTTCAAGATGGATCTCCTCAAACTCGGTGATCAAGTTCCTCAGATGGCTCGCAACCGGCGGTTGTATGCGCTGTCCAAGGGCAAGGAATGTACACTTGGTTACTTAGAGACATAGGTTTAACTGTTTGTGCAAAATTTAGAAAGAAAGAATTCAGGTTGCAGGATTGCTGTAGAATGAACACTTTGATGGTGTAGAAAGCTCAGAGCAATGATCTTAAGTGGCAAGTGAATCTTACTTTACTTGATTTATCTCAAGCACAGGAATAACAATCTAACCTTGACAATCAATTATCTTACACATTCAGAGGTCAAATAGTTGGATATCTCCACTACTCTGTAGTCCTGTCAAAATGTGAATACTTTTTTGCAAGAAAATATGGGTAACATGTCCCTGGTTCAGTTCAGCCTTAGCTGTATTGTTCAGCCTTAGATTCTGCTAGTTCAAACAATATATCTGGTAAAATTTTGGGGCTTCAGGAATCTGGACACATTGGACATATCAAGAAGAAACTCTTTATTAGGATCAGACAAATTTTAGGGGCTCCATACTTGCCATCTACATTGCAGGTAAAATTCTAGTTTCTGTATGTGAACTGAACTTAGACATCTTTAACCGGTGAGCTGAAATCCCAGAGAAAGGAAATAACGATGGACTCATAAAATCTGAACTTTGCCAAGAATGAAAAGCATCAGGCACCATGGCTAGACTGAAACCCAACATTGTTTTTCAGCGAGATTCTGATCATCACCCCAACCAACATTATTTTCCATCACACAGAGTACAGATCGGAAGGAAGGGAGGAAGGAAGCGACGGTGAACCCGTACCATATGGTCCGTGAAATCGTCACCGGGGACGAGGGAGAACTGCCTCGGGTGGTCGCCGGCGTGGCTCCAGTAGCAGTGCAGCCTCCACCACTCGCATTCCTCGCAGCCGTCCGCCCCGCACTCGCAGCCCTCCGCGTCGCATTCCTCGCCGCAGCCTGACAGCCGGTCTGCCAGCGCGAGCAAGGCAGCAAGCAGGCAGCCGTGAGAAAAATCGAAAAAGAGAGAAAAAAAGAGGGGTGTTTCTTGCCAACCAACACGACGGACGCTTGCCCGGCCGGAACCATGGAGCGGACGTACCTTGGTTAGCTCCGTCCATGTCCATCCGCCGCGGCCGCCGCCGTGGAGAGTGGAGGCGGAGTGAGTGAGTCAACCCCGGCCTAGGAAGAGTCCTTGGAGTTGATCGTTTTGGGCAAATGGTGGGGAGGGTAAAGCTGCTGCTGCACGCGGCGAGGCGAGCCAGAAGAGGAAAGCCAGGCACATGACGTGAACAGAGCTACTACTCGTGTGTGTATCAATCTCTCCGTTCAATTATTTACCCACCCAACCCAACCCAACCCAACGGCTGTAAAAGCATCAGCAGATGAGACAGAAACATCTTCTCATTTATGTTTCAAGATATGTTTGGTTTGGTTTGGCTGCCACTCATGTTTCACTCCGGCCAAGCCTGCTCCGAATGCATTTCATTCATTTTAGAACACGATTTTTTCTAAGCATGTGTGAAAAATCCACGAGTTTTAGAAAAATGGTACCGAAACCCAATAGTTTGGGTCGGGTTCGGTTCATACGTGTTCCGTTTGACCGGTTCATTGTGTGATTATTATGGTCTTTTTGAACAGAAAAAAATAAGGGTGGTTTTGGATGAAAAGGCATCCTTTTCTAAAATGAGGGATATTTCTTCTTCTTTTCTTTTAAAAGAGTGAATTTTTCAAAAAGATTATATATGAAAAATCCATGAGTTTTATTCTTAAAAAATATATCGAAATCTAATAGTTTGGGTCGGGTTTGAGTGGCACGGGTTGGGATTGACAGGTTTCCGTATTAGGTGCGTGTGGCGTGGTTTTTTCTTTCCGTCATGTGACGTGAAAAGTGGCATAACCGATTGAATGTCTATACGATTATGAATGCAAGTTTAAGTTTCGCCTTGAAGAAAGGGAGATATTGGATGGAAAGCAGGTTTTTTCTATTTATTTTTACGAACGAGACATTTACCACCAAAATTTAGGGTGTCCCATGCCCCGCGGTACAGCTGGGCATGGGCAGCCCGGACAAAAAACCCGACATCAGGGATGGGCTCGGGCCTCGCTTTTCTACCCAAAAAAGTGAAATGAGGGCTTATTTTTTAGATAAATAGGTGTAATGATTCATCCGACTCAAAAAAGGTATAATGATTCATTAATTTGCCACAATATGATTTATTTAGTTAATATGAAAATTGTCTTATACCATGTTGCTCGGTTGGACAGGTCTCAGGCCTGGCTTCGCATTTTTAGGTCAAGCTTTTGTAGAGCTTGGCCAAAACTTCGGCCCCTTGCTTGTTTCTAACAAAACCTATCAATGTACTAGTACTAGGTAATATATGAGGCCACTTGCTTCGCGCCTAAAGCATGGCATATGCAATGAGCTTGGGCCTCAACTTTCTAGTCAAGAAAGAGTGAAATGGGGGATTTTGTGTTTTTAGAAAAATAGTTGTAATGGCTCATTAGTTTGTCCTATGATGATTCATTTAGTTGGAATAATTGTTACCAGGTTACTCGGCTAACAATGTCCCGAGCCTGGCTTGACATTTTTAAGTCGGGATTTTGTAGAGCTTAGCCTGAAACTCAACCCAGTCCTTGTTTCTTGAAAAAAAACTATGCATGTACTAGGTAATGTATGAGGTCACCATCTTTTGCCCGTAGCGTGTTGTGAGTGAACAAATGTGCATTGGTCGGGTTATTATTCAATTTAATCTGGCTAGGATGCTAGGATGACCGGTTTCGAGCAAGGTTTTTGTTCCTATAGTAGCTACTGAGGAAGTTTTAAAACAATGTTCACATATTAAATAAAAAGTTCCAGATTTTCCAAAAAAATGTCGATTTTAATTTTTTTAATGAAATTTTAAAATTGTTCGCAACTTTTTATAAAATGTTTGGTAATTGAAATGTGTTTCTGAATTTTACAGAAGTTCACAAAATTTGAAAAGAATAATGAATTTAAGAAAATGTCCCTAAATTTTCATAAACTTCTTGAATTTTATAAATGTTTAAAATATTCATGACTTTTACAAATTGTTTATCAGTTTAAAGAATGTTCCAAAAATTTTGAAATGTTTTTGATTTTTTTAATAAGTTTCAAAGTAAATAATGTCGGTGTAATGAGAACCAGGGTCCCACTAACCTCTGTAGATGGGCCATGGCAGTGCTCGGCAACGCCCGGCAATCATTTTGCCGGAGAGCACTACTACCGCGCGGGGAGCGTCTCTCCCGCGGCATGGATCAACACTCGAGCAAACCAACCAGAAGACGAAGACCCTGGCAAGATCCTTGCCGGGGACGGCCACAAGACCCCCGGCAAGATCCTTGCCGGGGACGGCCGCAAGGACCCCCAGAAAGATGCTTGCCGGGGACGACCACAAGACCCCCGACAAGATCCTTGCTGGGGACGGCTGCAAGGACCCCCGGAAGTATGCTTGCCGGGGACGACCATAAGACCCCCGACAAGATCCTTGCCGGGGACGGAGGCGAGACCCCGGCAAGACCCTTGCCGGGGACATCTGCGGGGCCGCGGCCAAGCCCGCACCTGCCAATGTTTCACTACCCCACGGGCGTTCAGATGCGGTGACCAGTCCGCCAACTAGCCAAGCACCTGCGTGGTGGCATGCAGATCTTCGTGAACTCTGTCACCGCACCAGCTCAGCAGCCAGCCAGCCAGCATGGCGTTGCATGCCTCATCAGCTTGGACGCGTGTCGGAGCAAGGCGAGGCAGCGACGGAAGAGACGAGCTTCATTGCCGTCCCCGATAAAGCAAGAGGGCACGTTGGAAGCGCATTCAATGCGTTTGTCCTACGGTGCCAAGTGATAAACTTGTACACTGTAGACACTTTCCACCTCCTGTGTGCCACTGTGGCGACCCCTTTGACATATAAAAGGAGGCCCGAGGCATACCGTGGAAGGATTCGGACTTTTTTGGACTGGGCATGCACCGCAGCTAGTTCAAGAACTCAAATAAACACAGACAAGCAGGACTAGGATTTTATTCATCGTTTGCGGTACGAACCTGGGTAAAAAGTCCCCTCGCGCTGGTCTTCTCGACCTGCTCTTCGCGTAGCTCCACGCCCCGCCAACCGTAGAAGGGATGCCCCGGGACACCATAGGTGTCGTTTCCCCCGACATCTTTGGCGCGCCAGGTAGGGGGCGTGAGGCTATGAAAATCTGGTCTAGAAGTTAGCGCATCGACTTCATCATCACCTTCCAAGGCGCTCAATAAAAGGGCTCCATGACAATGAATCCTTCCACGTCCAAACTTCCTTCACGCACGCCTACGAGTGGCGCGGGCGGCGCTAGCACCGCGGATGTCGTGCCTGCTGCGGTAGGCACGACCGGCGCAGGCGGCATGGTCGCCGTGCCCGCTGCGGCAAGAGCGGGCGATGGAGATGTTGGAGGCGGTCATCTTCCGCGACCCCCCGGCTAAATTTCTTCACCAACAATGGCATCTTCTTCGGCATCATCGCAGTTCAGAGGAAGCTAAGTTCCAAAACTTTGATTACACTCTGTTGCATAGTCTTATCCTTAATGACATTTTTGCAAACAACCTCTGCGCAAAGGAGCACTTTTAGAATATTCTGGGCTCTAGGTTGTTCAGGTCCGCCTAGCAACGCCTATGCAGCCGTGTTTATTTTGGAAGTGTTAAGCCCCTCGGAAGGCAGCGTTCTCTTTCGGCCGCTAACTAGGACCGATCCTAAGCGCCATTGACTAGACCGTGCGTAACCAGGCGGTATTCCGGCAAGCGTAGGGAATAGTTGTGCAAAAATTTAGTCATTTAAGAAAAAGACTTAACAAGTTTTTATTTATTTGAGATTTCTGCATAAACCTGTATGCTAAGGAACCTTCTTGGGGCTAGTTGCGCTCCAAGTTGCCTTGAGTCCGCTCGACAACTTGTGCAGCTGCGCTAGAACCAGGATAGCAAACCTTTCCGGGAGGCGACGTTCCCGAGTAGCTGCTAAGTAAGTGACCGTTCCCTCAAGCGCGGTTGATTGGATCGTATGCACCGGAAAACATTCCAGCAGGCATAGGGAATATTTAGCAGAAGTCACAATTTACAAGTGAATTAAGTGCCGAAAGGATCGAGAAGAGGTGTCTAGAGGGGGATGAATAGACACTTCACAAAAAAAGTTGCAGTTTTTAAATTCTTTAAGTTGAAGTGGAGTTTTAGCATAAGTTCAATCTTTCACAATACATATCAAGCAAGTATGACAAGAGTATCTGAGCAGCGGAAAGTAAATCATGCAATTTGCAAGAATGTAAAGGGATGAGATTGGAGTGTGCAGACGCAATTGGAGACACGGAGATTTTTTATCCGTGGTTCTGATAGGTGGTGCTATCGTACATCCACGTTGATGGAGTGTCGGAGTATTGGGCCACGGGTAGGCGAACCCGAGTCCCTGAGCCTTTTAAGACTTTGGGCCGGCTTGGACCCACGAGACTCCAGAATGGAGCACCGCCTTCTGGTGGCCAGCTGCCCGAAGGTGGCCTAGCACCGGCAAACGGCACCAAGACAGGCTGCCTCCTAGCGGACGGCCTCCGGAGATGCCGGCTTCTAGCAGGCAGCCACCAGGCACCCTAGAGTCTGTGCCCCTCATCAAGAAGACAAGACAGGCTGAGGCTACAACGTAGCCCCGTATCCCCGGATCCCGGGCTTGGCATGGCCACAGTGCCCCGTACAGGCGGAGATCCCCGCACGACGTGGCACTGTTGCCATTCCCCCTTTACACCACTACTGACCGGCGGAGCCCTGTTCCCACGACGGCCTGTCGGTACGGCCCGCAGGCGGCGGGCCCTACCGGGAAGAGAGAGCTCGGAAGGCGGTCGAAGCTGGACCAGCCGGAACTACGGGAGGCCGGCCCCCAGCAGGCGGCCGGACCCTCCCTCGAAGGCAGTATGACATCAGCCAGATGGGGTGTGGTGTGGCTACAGTGATCTCCCACCAGGCGGCGGGACTGTAGCCACGCTCCCCTGACCAAGCATGCATCATTAGCACCATGGCTACAGTGATCAGCCACCAACCAGACCCGCCAGCGGCGGACGCGGCTTGTTGGCTCCGTACCGGATCAGTCGGAGGGCCCGC